GTCACAAATGAGTTGCTAATATACCACTAACTATATAGTTTTACTTTAGTTGCTCTTTTGGGACAAATTTGCGACCAACACTATTTGCGACGAGCTATTTCTAACTGAAGGTAGTAGTTGCAAAATAGTCATAAAATCAATATTTGCAACTACCTTACAACTATTCTTGTAGTTACAAAATTGATGTTTTCTTGTAGTGTATGCTCCTTCTCCAAAAGTAGATTACAAGTCTCCTCCCCCACCGTACGTATACAATTCTCCACCACCACCATACTATTCACCTTCTCCAAAGCCCACATACAAATCTCCACCACCTCCATACATTTATAATTCTCCTCCACCACCATATTACTCACCTTCCCCAAAGGTTGATTACAAATCTCCACCACCTCCTTATGTTTACAGCTCTCCGCCACCACCATATTACCCGCCTTCACCAAAACCAACATACAAGTCCCCACCCCCTCCATATGTTTACAACTCTCCTCCACCACCATATTATTCACCTTCACCCAAACCGACATACAAATCTCCACCACCACCATATGCCTACAGTTCTCCACCACCACCATACTACTCTCCTTCTCCTAAACCCGCATACAAATCTCCACCTCCACCATATGTCTACAATTCTCCACCACCACCGTACTACACGCCTTCACCTAAACCATCATATAAATCACCACCACCACCATATGTCTACAACTCTCCCCCACCACCGTACTACTCGCCTTCACCCAAGCCTACATACAAATCACCACCACCATATGTCTATAGCTCTCCACCTCCACCTTATTACTCTCCTTCACCTAAACCTACATATAAATCTCCACCACCACCATATGTCTACAGTTCTCCACCACCACCATATTACTCGCCTTCGCCTAAGCATGCATACAAGTCCCCACCACCACCATATGTATACAGCTCCCCACCTCCACCTTACTACTCTCCTTCACCGAAACATGCATACAAATCTCCACCACCGCCATATGTCTACAGCTCTCCACCACCACCATACTATTCACCATCACCTAAGATTGTATACAAATCTCCACCACACCCACATGTATGTGTTTGTCCACCTCCTCCTCCATGCTACTCTCCTTCTCCAAAGATTGAGTACAAATCTCCACCAACACCATATGTTTACCATTCTCCACCTCCCCCACCTTATTACTCGCCTTCACCTAAACCCACATACAAATCTCCACCACCACCATATGTTTACAACTCTCCACCACCACCATACTACTCGCCTTCACCTAAACCAATATACAAATCTCCACCGCCACCATATGTCTATAGCTCTCCCCCACCACCATACTACTCACCGTCGCCTAAGCCAACATACAAATCTCCACCACCAGCATATGTCTACAACTCTCCACCTCCACCATATTATTCTCCTTCCCCAAAAGTAGAGTATAAATCTCCACCACCACCATATGTCTACAGCTCTCCACCACCACCATACTACTCACCTTCGCCTAAGCCAACATACAAATCTCCTCCACCTCCATATGTCTACAACTCTCCACCCCCACCATATTATTCTCCTTCTCCAAAAGTAGAGTATAAATCTCCACCACCACCGTATGTTTACAGCTCTCCACCTCCACCGTATTACTCCCCTTCTCCAAAGGTTGAGTACAAATCTCCTCCACCACCATATGTCTATAGTTCTCCACCTCCACCACCATATTACTCTCCTTCTCCAAAGGTTGACTACAAATCTCCTCCACCTCCATATGTCTACAGTTCACCACCGCCACCACCATATTACTCTCCTTCTCCAAAGGTTGACTACAAATCTCCTCCACCTCCATATGTCTACAGTTCACCACCGCCACCACCATATTACTCTCCTTCTCCAAAGGTTGACTACAAATCGCCTCCACCTCCGTATGTCTACAGTTCACCACCACCACCACCACCATATTACTCTCCTTCTCCAAAGGCTGAGTACAAATCTCCTCCACCACCGTATGTCTACAGTTCTCCACCGCCACCACCACATTACTCTCCTTCGCCAAAGGTTGAGTACAAATCTCCTCCACCACCGTATGTCTACAACTCTCCACCTCCACCACCTTATTACTCTCCTTCCCCAAAGGTTGAATACAAATCTCCTCCACCACCATATGGATACACATCCCCACCACCACAAACATACTCTCCTTCACCAAAGGTTGAATACAAATCTCCTCCCCCACCTTCATATTATTAAAACTGTTACATGAAACTCATAAATAAGATATCAAGTCTCATATGATGTCCTATGTTTTTAATTCTTCTTGTTCCTCGTTCTTTCTAAATCTCCAAGGTTTATATGAATTTTTTGGCTATTGAAATTTCATTTAAATTCATGTTTCCATTAGTCATTCTTATGGGAGGGCTGCCTTTCATTCATGTGTAACCTGTTGTAACTCTATAAATTGTTTGTAATATCTATGATATGTGTTACCACTGTTATGCTATCTGGATTGCCTATATATGTGTCCATGATTAATAAAGCTACGCTGGTAACTGACAGTTTCTTATAATTATCATGAGTTTGTATTGTGAAATATTCTTTGAAATGCTCTTACACCACTGCTAAACCACCAACAATCGATTATCTTTCTTTTCTTGAATCCAAAGACTTCTTCTAATTTCTTCTATAGCTTATGATTCTTCTATGTTCTCACCTTAACAATAATAAAAATATAAACAGTAAGGAGAAAGAGAATAAAAAACAAAAATCAAGAATCGTTTCTCCTTTGAAAGATTGCCAACCAATATTAAGAAACTGTAGCAACAAGAAATTTATTAAAAAAACATCTGTTGTCGCAAAAGTTACCAAAAACCTTAAAACCTAAAAAAAAACGTTACACTTGAGAATTAAATAGCTAGTTGCCTTCTCTAAGACTGCCCTCCGGGACTAAAACGACGCATCTGTAAGTGATCATGCAAGTCATCATCACCATTAAACATTTCGAAAGAGTCAGGGTCACGAGGCAAACGATTGCGACGTATACTCATGACAATGCTCTCAAAGGTGTCTGGTACGTGTTGTTGTATTACAGGTGACAGTTTTTGTTGGTAACGTATCCAAAAACAAGCAAACTTCGACTTCCAATTAACCGAGCCCCTGCCTCCATCCACAGTAACAAGATGCCTAGCTTCCTCCCATATTTTCTGTTTCCACAACGCATTGCTTGACGCCATACGCCGAGTCTCTCTACAAACGCAAGCCATCTTCGCGAGACTCGCACCCGTAAGGGACTTCACTATCTTCCGCTTAAGCTCTGTTGGTAGAAACATAAAACATGGTGGAAGTTCCAAGCCTGACTTATCGCAAAGAGAAATCAACAACGGGGTAACAAGACCCTCTTTCACCATTCTCCAAAACATGAACACCTCCTTGTAGATAACTTCTTCGTCAAGTTTCAGAATATCAAAAACCCTAGTTTTATCTAGATAAACCCTTCGTACATTCCCATTAAAAGACCCGTAAACTACAACCTTATCATGACTTAAGCTCTGAAACGTAACGGTAACAAACTCAACTAACTTAGGTAAGGTATACTTTAGGGTTACAGAAAGTAACTCTTTCGAAAAGCTAAACTTATTATCAGAGGAGTTAGGGTTGAACCAAACAAATCCAGATTCCAACATTACGGCGTGGACAGACAAAGCTAAGGTAGTTAGCTCATTGGTATGATCACCAGAGTTCTCAAGTAATATCTTTTTCAAGAAGAGTGGTTCGGTTAACCTTTTGGTTCCAGCCTCCGTCGGGTCTGGACCATCCATTAGCGACGTGTCCCCGGTTTGATGTGGCTCACCGAGTGGTGGGAGCGTTTCAATTATTGAATTGATCAGTTGGCAGAGCTCAGGGATAGTGGTTTCGCTGGTCTCGTGGGTTCTCATTGGTAGCTCAGATAGGAGAGACAGAAGAATAAATCAAAGAAGAGAGGGAGAAGTTGGAATCAGATAATGATGGATCCTGATTCGAAGGGTCAACAATAAAGATGATATTATGGCGGTTATTACGTACCAGAATAATGGCGGTTAAGATATATATATGAGCCGTGTTTTGGGGTCCATAAAACAATACAGTTTCACATTTAAATCGGATTGCGGATTTGATTTGAATTTACTTGAATCTTTTTTTATAAGTTATGAATTGCATTCTAGTATTCTTAAAATTAGGTTCGGTCTAGGTTGGGTTTCTTCGAGAGTCCGATTAGTAATGACTTTCGCTTTAGGATTTGATTTTAGAATTGTGGCCGTAGAGATTTTGGCTTTAAAGACGTTAACTGTTACTTTAAAAAAACTTAGAAGCTGTGACTGTTATAAATATATGTTTATAATTCATTTTTCAAAATATATTACCTATTTTTTATTTATACACGTTTATAAAATATATTGTATAGTTTAAAAACAGAAAATCAATCAAATTTATCAACAATATATTTTATTTCTTTATTGTAAAAATTTGAAAATATAATCAACAAAATTATTTTTATTAAATTTAAAATAAGATAATAATTTATTAAATAAAAAATTATTAAAATTAAATTTAAAATAAAATTACAATTTATTAAATAAAACAAAAAAATTATTAAAAAATTAACGGGTTCTAGCCCATATGCTCTTTGCAATCTCATCTCGAACACATTCTATGTATTTTCTTGAACTGAGATCTTGGTCCATCGTATTTGGAAGTTCTTTTTCATTTGTCGTTTGTTCGTTTTCATTTTCTTCTAATTGGAAGTCAGGATCCACAAGACTTGACTTGCGAATGAAGTTATGGAGAACCAGGTTGCCATTACAATTTGACGCATTGTAGATATGTTATACCTTGCTTCATCTTTCACAATACGCCACTTTTTTCCACACTCCAAAAGTTATTTCAATCACTGATAAAAGTTTTTGAATCTTTCGTAAATGTTTTCAGTTATATATACAATATTTTTAGTTTTAAACAGATTAATAATCTATTAATAGTAAAGTCTGACTTTTTCTTGATGGTAAAACCTAATTTAACTAATGAAAATGAATTTATAAATCATTATATTTATTTTTTCTTTCAATTATTATACTTTTTGAATATTTCGTAATTTTTTTCAATTATTTATACAAAATTTTTTAATCTTTAACAAATTAATAGTCTATTAATAGTTAGGTATGATTTTTTCTTGATAGTAAAATTTAAACTAACTAATGAAAATGAATTTATAAATCCTTGTATTTATTTTTCTTTCAATTATTATCTTTTTTGAATCTATCCTAAATGTTTTCAATTATTTATATTTTTTAGTCTTCAACAAATTAATAGTTTATTAATAGTAAGGTATGACTTTTTTGGTGGTAAAACTAAAACTAACTAATAAAAATGAATTATTAATCATTATACTTATTATTTCTTTTATTTTAGTAAGAAATGAGCAAAAAGTCGAAAAAAAAACAAATCACGTTTTTTATCATAGAAAAAGAAGAGATAGAGTGTTGTAAAGTCTCAAAAAGTGGCTGTTGTTTTTTTTTTAATTGAGTTTTTAGGACGTTACAAATTTCTAAAGCCTGAAAGAAGTGATTAGTAAATATTTGGTTTTAGTGGCTTTACACAACCACAAAGCCCTCAAAGCCTACACACCAATCGGACCCTGAGTTTGGTTATATCAACACATCGCAAATTTGGTTCAACCATTTTATTTAGATTTTGATTACTCATATTAGTCATATAATTAATTATTTTGACTTAAATATACATTTTAATTTAAGGAGAGGGGGGATCACACGGTTTTCGAGGCAAAAGTGGTGAACCCGCGTCGCGTGAACTCGCTGCGGTGATACTAGATCGTCACGAGTTCACCACGTGGCGGACCATGATTCGTTATTTTTTTTTTTTGAAAAAGTCTCACGAAAAAATAAAAAAGTGACTTCGGAGATCGTGCCAGAAGAGTATTGCTGATGGAGATGCTCTAAGGCCATTTCCATCCATTAGTACCCCTAATAAATGGGTACTTAAGGATAAATAATGTTTAATTTTGTGATTTGAAAGTTTAAGTACTCATGTTAGTCTATTTAATTTTTTCATCCTCCATTGGTAGAACCTAATTGAAGTTCTTAAAAAAAAAAATTGAAAGTTGAATGATTTAAAAGAAAGAGATACATAATTTTTTTTATTAAAAATGACATAAAAGCTTATAAAAATACAAATGCAAATAGTAAACAACAAAGACAGATTAGTAGAAATCTTGATCTATTCCAAATTTTTACCATATATTCTCAAGCTTAATTAAAATCTTGTTCTATGTCACAATAAACGAAAACAACAACAGAAAACTAAAAAAGATTCGTCTGATCATGTGAACCACAGAACCTTAACCAATTTTATTAAGACAAAGCAACTCAGAACTTAAGCATATCGATTCCACAAACAATCAATCTCAATTTTACTAAGATAAAAGAACTCAGAACTTAAGCATATCAGATCCAGAAACAAACATTTCATCTATTCAACAGTGAACAAAACTCTACTAGTAATCTAATAACAAATTTCACTGTTCTCAATATTATGAAACAATCATAAAAATCTTAAAATTAATTTTATAAAAGACGAGGGATGTGAGATAAACCAAAATCGAGACAACAGTAACATAAAGATCAAATCAAATGGATGATTTGTTACTGATAAGGAGATCGAACGATATTCCAGACGAGGTTCGAGACAGAGACGACGAGATTCGACGGAGAGACGGCAAGTTTCGGGACTGAGACGAGACTCGAGCGAAATACTATGAGATTTGATCCAGAGACGCCGAGCTTCTAGAGATAGATGAGCTTGATTAGAGAGAGAGAGACGCCGAGATTATCGAGAGATAGATGAGCTTGCTTTGAGAGAGAGACGAGGAGGCTCGACAGAGATACAACGAGGCTCGAGACATAGACGACGACACTCTAGACTGACGATGAAGTTCACTTCAGAATTGCTGATATTCGAGAGAGAGAAAACGGAGAAGTCGAGAATGCATATTTTTTGGTTGATCGTCACGAATGAGAGAGATCATTGGTTGCGGTCCAATGAGAAGACGCCACATCAGGGTGACTTACCAAAACTGCAAAGCCCACCGTAGCGCTATTAATATAAATTGGAGTTTTCAATTTAAATTTTATTCATTTTTGGGTGTTTCTTGGGTTTAGTTACCCCCGATGGAAATGGTCTAAGATTCATTTGATATCTATGTCATATTTGTATTTGGTTCAAAAAAAAAATCTTAGTCAATTCAGTTTGGAATTTCAGTTTTTTTTTTTTTTTGTTCACCCCTACACAGAACATTAACTTGCTACTAATACTAATAGCAAAACTGGTTTTTATACTTTTTAGATTTAGCTCAATAATAGAAAAACCATAAATTTAACACACGCTGGATCAGCTCGAAATTAACATATGGTTTATTTTTTCAGAGAAATGTTTTCAATAACTGCAAGTTAGTACCTTTGAATAAGTAATTCATAGTGATTTATAATATTTAAGGTAAACAGTATACTAAAAGAAATGTTGAAAGTTAATAACCCTGAAATATTTTCCATCCATATAACAGTATACCAAAAGAAATGTAGAAAGTTAATAACCCTGAAATATACACCACCCAATGAGGCAATTTCTCAATCTTTTGGAGAAAACAGTCAGTATAACCCATTTGTTAATTGCTGATGTAGTACTACTAATTAACAAATGGATAAAAAAAAAAGAAGCTTATAAATCCAAGAAGATCCTGCCGAATATTAAACCATAGTACAAATCAAATGAAATAATTAACGAATACAATACACATACGACCGTCCCCACCACACATAAAATTCGACCGTTACTCACAACGTTCCAACCCATCAAAATCCCTTTTCTTTTTCATCATTCAAAAAACTTGCTTTTATTATATCTTACCGTTAGCTCTCCGCGGCTAAGTTAAAAAAAAAAAAACCTAACTCTCAATCACATCAATTCAATCTTCATATCAAAAATCAAATCCAAATCTTCCCAAATCCAAACCTTCTTGAATCTCTCCTCACCTAAAAAATCACAAAGATCTTGACAACAATGGCGTCTTTAGCACCCGGAATCCTCCAGAACCTCCTCGACGCCATGAAAACTGGAGTCAAACCCACCGGAGAACACAGAAGCTCCCTCCTCCAAGTCACCGACATCGTCCCCATCGATCTCGACGAGAAGAATCTCATCCCGAAACAAGGCTTCTTCATCAAACTCTCCGACTCTTCCCACTCCATCTACGTCACCCTCCCCTCGGACCAACACGACGTCGTCTTGAGCAACAAGATGCAGCTCGGCCAGTTCATCTACGTCGATCGCCTCGATCCGGGGACCCCTGTTCCTGTCGTTCAGGGGGCGAGGCCCATCCCTGGACGGCATCCTCTGCTCGGGACGCCTGAGGTGAGAGGGAAGGAGTCTGAGTCTGGTTCGAGGGGGAGGAGAGGCTCTTGGGGTCAGAACGGTGACGTTTCGTCTCCTTTTGTGTTGAAGTCTGGGGCTTTGGATTTTGATCAGTGTACTCCGGGGAAACAGAGGAGGTCGCCGATGGTGATGAGAGGGAGGTCTCCGGGTGGTGTTAGGTGTTCTTATGGAGGAAAGATGGTTGATTTGAGAGGGGAGAGTCCTGGTTCGGTGATGAGGAAGAGCTGTGTTGTTGTTCCTTCGAGTTCTAGGTTTCCGAGGAGTAGGAGTGTTTGTGATAGAGAGACTGTGAAGGCCAACTCTGTTCTGCTTAGTCCTTTTAAATCCTCTGTAGGTACTTTTTTTGTTGTTTTTTTGTTTCTTTCTTGAGAAGAGAGAGTTTTTTTAACAATGTGGGGAATTTGCAGGTGAAGAAAAGTAACTCACCGCCTCCGAGTGTACGGACTAGACGAGCTACTGCTGCTTTGATGGAAGAGGAAAGAGAGGCTCCAAAGACTACTTGTAAATTGACTTCTCCGAAGTATAGTAAGGTGGAGAAACCAGAGAAGAGTTTGAGTTTAACAGGGAGACTCAGCACACTGAGCAAGGTGATTTTGTGGTTACAGTCTTGGAAGTAGTAAGGTGTTTTAAGAATTTTTGTTTGGTGGTTACTGAGAGGTGTGTTTTGATGTGTACAGGAAGCTATGCAGCAGAGGGAGACAGCTCAGAAGATAGCTCTTCAGGCGTTGAGAGAAGCTACAGTCACTGAAACCGTTGTCCGTCATCTCAAGTATACAACTGAATCTCCCTTTTGTTGTTTTCATTTGTATGATTTATGTTCTTTTCTCGTTTGAGAATGTGATCAAGGTTCTTGCGGAAATACAGGACAGTAGCCAATCTTAGCAAATCAGCAAAACTTGATTGTCCTGCTGCGTGTTTCGAGAAGTTCTTGGAGTTTCACAAGCAGATATCTGAAACCATGAGCGAAATCTCTTCCATTGAAGCAGCTAGTGAGACCAAGACCGAAGATGGATCAACTTCTTTGATACTTAGCGAAATCAATCACAACTCCATTGATCAGGAGAAAACTGCAACGAAGAGAAGAACTACTACTACACTGAAGCAGCAGCAAAACCATAAGCAACTGAGATCAAACGATGAGAACAAGAACCCATCAGCTCATCCTCCTCCTTCCGGGTTAGGAAACACAGCGAGGTTGGCTAAAGAGATAGAGAAAGAAGCTGCAAACTGGTTCATGGAGTTTATAGAAAAGGCTCTAGATAAAGGGATGAAGAAGTGTAAAGGCACAGGTGATGCAGATGTTAAGAAGGTTCCACAGTCTCTGATTCTCCAAGTTGTAAACTGGGTGGAAGCAGAACAGTCTGCTGATAACACGAGAAGATCGGTACATCCAAAAGCATCACAGATCACTAGAAAGCTCAGAATCAAAATGAAGAACCCATGAATAGTGCAGAAGATACTGATGGGTTTTTTTTAATGTTGTTCCCACTTACTACTGTGAAAAAGCTTTTAGTTTCCACTGCTTATAGAGAAACCATTCATTGATTCTATTGTTTTATTCAAAGTTTATAAAATAGTGGTCTTATTCCTCAACACCAAGAAATGTTTCATACATCACACAATGTGTAAAATTTATCATCATAATCTAGGAAACCTAGAGACCATACAACTCAAGGTTTCCCAAAGCAAAACCATTATTAAAAACCACAAGGGAGAGAAAACCTGGTTAGGTTTAGAGCCAAGCCGGGTTTTTGATGGCAGTGACAACAGCCTTGACTTGCAAGTAATTGTTGAGACTGTAGATACCTTTCTCTCTTCCAATGCCACTCATCTTATACCCTCCAAATGGAATTGTGGCATCAAACACATCGAAACAGTTTATCCAAACGCTTCCAACTCTGAGTGCTCTCATCAACCGATTTGCTGTGTCTAGATTCTGTGTGAACACTCCTGCAGCTAAACCGTATCTTGAGTTGTTTGCCCTTGCAATCACTTCATCCAGATCCCTATGAAAACATCAAGCCACCCCATTAGTAAAGTTTAATCAGAAAAAAATGTCTACAAATCATTGGATATGTACTTGAACTTAAGAATGGTCTGAACTGGTCCGAAAATCTCGTCTTTAGCTATGAGCATGTCGTCCTGCCAAGATCAATACAACCAATATAAATCCATTTGTCGTAAGAAATTGCTGTTTCAGTGTAATACTATTATGTTTAACTTACCTTGACGTCAGAGAAGACAGTGGGTTGAATGTAGTAACCCTTGGAACCAAGACGGTCACCTCCAGCTTGTAAGGTGGCTCCACTATCAACTCCATGTCTAATGTACTTCAAGATTTTCTTGAATTGCTCTGAGTCCACCTGTTTTTTTTAACCAATCAAGTTAGGAATATGGAGATGCTGTTTTGTCTTTCACTGAGAAAATGGTTACGGTTTCATCATGTAAGGATTCTCTACCTGGGGACCTTGCTCAATGCCTGACTTGAAGGGATCTCCAACAACGCGATTCATTGCACGAGCTTTAGCTTTCTCTACAAATTCATCATAGACACGTTCATGTACAAATGTACGTGAGCCAGCACAGCAACATTGTCCCTGAGAGTTAGCCAAAAGAGGTTAACAGGAAGGCATTGATTCTTAAGATAGTAGATTCATTGTTTTTCCGAGTGAAGTTAGTTACCTGGTTAAAGAACAAAGCGAAATGAGCAAGCTCAACGGCCTGATCCACATCAGCATCTTCACATACAATGAATGGTGACTTGCCTCCAAGCTCAAGAGTCACTGCCTTGAGGTTACTTTTCGAAGCCAACTCAAGAATAATCTTTCCAACATCAGTAGACCCTGTGAAAGCAACCTGAAGAGCACAGAGGATTTAATCTAATGGTCTTCACTGTACGAGAAATGTATGGTTAGAAGAAGAAGTTTTCAAGGTTTGTCTTTTAAACCTTATCAATGTCCATGTGGCTAGCTATGGCTGCACCAGCTGTAGGACCAAATCCAGAGACTATATTTACAACTCCTTCAGGAAGTCCAGCCTGTCACAAATGTCATATACTTAAGCACAAACATAACAGACAGATGACAGACGTAAGAAAAAACAAAGAGTACGTAGTTACCTCGTGAAGTAGTCTTCCAACAAGAAGAGCAGAGAGAGGAGTTTGCTCAGCTGTCTTGAGCACAACGGTGTTACCGCAAGCTAAAGCAGGTCCAAGTTTCCACGAGAGCATGAGAAGAGGGAAGTTCCATGGGATGATCTGTCCAGCAACTCCTATGGGCTCATGGAGTGTCTGCACATGATGTGAACCATCTCCTGGAACCGTCATTCCATGGATCTTGTCTGCCCAGCCTGAGAAACTCACCAATCCAAACAACTTGTAAGATACAAATCATACCAATATAGATTAGTGACATTGTCATTGGTTGTCACTCACCAGCATAGTAACGGAACACCCTAGCAAGCATAGGAACCTCAATCTTAGCAGATTGTTCATAAGGTTTCCCATTATCCCAAGTCTCAAGAGCAGCAATCTCATCGTTGTGTTTCTCAATCAAGTCAGCAAAACGAAACAATATCTTTGATCTCTCCTGAAAAAAATGAATCAAACATGAGAGTTACTCTCAAAACAAACCAGAGATGTTTAAACAAAATAATTATATTTACATAAGCAGTCATTCTAGGCCATGGTCCCTCGTCAAAGGCCTTGCGTGCAGCTACAACAGCACGGTTCACGTCTTCTACATCACCTTCAGACACCTGAGCTATCACTTCCCCAGTTCTTGGATCCAAAGTAGGGAAAGTCTTTCCTGTAACATCATTCAATGTAAGTTTAATGATCACAACGCGATGTATCCATTGTAATCACAAGTTTTAGATAATTCAAGAATCTCTGACCTGAGGCAGAATCAACGAACTTCCCGTTGATTAGGAGCTGAGTGTGCTGAACTTTCACAGGTGGAGTAATAGTGTCTTCTAGAGAAGCAGCAAGGTTGCTGTATCTGCGAGTTCCTCTGTTCATAAAAGAGTCTTTCCCTAAAGAGAACAACAAAACGATTATTAATCAATTCAATTCATTTCAATACCAAAGAGATCATCAAATCACATCGATACAGATCACCAATCAAAATTCAAAACAACAAAAACAGATCGTTATCTAGATGCACATATGAAACAAGTGGATCTGCGAATAACATACAAATGGATTCACAACACATCAGATATGTAATACCTCTAAGAGAGAAGAGAGAAGATGAGCGAGATAACAACGAGGAAACTCTTCTTGAAGCCATGAGAACTAGTTACAGTGTCACGGTGAAAGACTCTCTCTTCTTTTGTATTTGGTGAAGCTTCTTTCTGGTGGGTTGCACGAGTATATTGTTTCGTTTATTATATAAAGAAGAAAACGTAGGAAAGAACACACAGAAGATATTATCCGTTCCCACACGTCAGCAGACCAAAAGACGAAACACAAGTCAAAACATTATTCGCGACTAGATATTCTTTTCTAATAGTAAAGGATTTAGTACCATTTTTATCAGTATTATATGACTTTTATGTGCTGCCACAATGTTTGGAGTTAATACTTGTAAATACATGAATCTTATGATGACATAATGTTCACAAAAAATAAGAAAAAAAAATATATATTGTTTTATATAAATTACGAGTTATAAAAATGGTGGTAGTATTATAATTTTATACCTTCCGTAAAGAACATATCAAACTAAAATTTGGAATAAAATATTGAAATATATTTTTTCTTAAAACTAATGTTATAAAATATCATTTTAATTATTTATACTATGTTTGCAGATGGTGTTTTATTTAGTACCATATATACTGTTTGGAGTTATAGCTGTAAATCTATAATTATCTAAAATTCGGTAAGCCAGAAATATGGTCACTGACTCACTTCGGACCAATCATACTGTACTAGTTTATTTATCGTTCACTAGACACGAATGAAAGAGAAAAGTACATTATTTCCCGACTCTTTTACAATTTTGAAAATATATAAGTACAACTCCTACAAAAGTGGATTTGAGTGGTTCACCTACCACACTAAAAATTGGTCATTATTTTACTTATATCTCCATTCCCTTTTTTTTTTTTGTCAACATCTCCATTCCCAGTCTCTGGAAATCAAATTAGTTTAAAGAGTAAATTAGCTTAAAACCAATGAAAGATAATGAAATTAAGAATATGCCAAAAACAGTAAAAGATGGATGTGCGTGATATCAAACGCTACCAAGAAAGACGAAATTGTCCTCATTACACCTATATGCTAGCAACAAAATTTTTGTAGATTGGAAATAAAAAATATGAAAAGATTTGGGTAATTTCTTAAACTCACCTCGGGAAACGAAGAAGTACACTATCGTGTGAAATTCAATCCACAAGATGTGTTATATTATTTGCCACTATTTTCCATTTTGTTTTAAAAATATTTCTTTAAAATAATATATTTTAAAATTAAACCCTAAACTCTAATCCTAAACCCTAAACCCCTAGATAAATTATAAACCTTTGGTAAATTTTATAAAAAAATTATTTTCACTAAAAAACTAAACCCTAAACTCTAATCCTAAACCCTAAACCCTTGGGTAAATCATAAACACTAAACCCCAAACTCTAATCCTAAACCCTAAACCCTTGGATAAATCATAAACACTAAACCCTAAACTCTAATCCTAAACCCTAAACCCTTGGATAAATCATAAACACTAATTTTTTATAGATTTATCCAAAGATTTGTGATTTACCTAGGATTAGACTTTAGAGTTTTTTTGTTCGATAAAAGAGATTGTGTGGAGACTTTATTTTAATTCAAAAACTTTGGTTTATAGGAGGAAAGTCAAAGAGTCTAACACAAAGATATCGTATGAGAATAAAATTCTTCTTATATAATTTATTTTAGACTAACTTACACAAATAGGTTCAATTGTTTGTATAGGGGTAACATAGTCTTTTGGAAGTGTGTACAGTGACGTCTGAAGGCGCCGTTGGTACTTTGCTAAATAAGCCATCTTCCTTTGGTGTAGCTCCTAATTTCTCTAGTTTAAAGTCCTATATGTCAATCAATGAAGTTTTCTTTTTACGAAAAAATTACAGCAGCAAATTTTTTTCAAAATAAAAAGTGATTATAAAGAAATTTATTTCTTCAGAAATATAGGGATTTACAAATTTACACCAAAAAATCTACAGTTTAAATTTTACAATAAAAAACAAAAATTTACAGCTTCTTCCACTATACCTATGTGAACATGTAAAAATAAAATTTAGTTATATCACTATAATTTTAGTGTTTCATAAAAAAACATCATTCTATATTTTTAATACAATTTTATATGTTAAGTTTTTTTGATAAAATTTTATATGTGAAGTTTCCTTTTCTCTCTTTGAATGACCAACAAATTTCTATCTAAATCATTTTCATTTTGTAAATTTTATATTAAATAAAAATATATTAGTGTAATTGTATTTTTTTAATTCGCATGAAATATGTGAATAATTTTTTTTTTGCTAAATGAAAAAAGGTAAATTGATTCAGCCTTTGTGTTTGCATTCAAATAAAAATAAAACTTATGATAAATGCGATTATGTGAACATGTATTAAATATTAATGATAAAATATTCCTTCTACTTTCCTTTTTTATAAATAAAGTGCTCAGCCTTCCAATGTTTCCATACGTGTTTTTCGTTTCTAATATCGTTTTAGTAAAAGATTTCGGCTCAAGTACAGCCGAATTTAGTAGACCGTCGACATTGAAATGCTTAGCTTTAACTAGAAACAAACGTATGCAACTAAATCAGCATTATACTTAAATTTTGTTATCAAACTTAAATTTTGACATTACAAAACCAGATAATTGAGAAGGTCGTATTTGCAAAAGTTGGGTTCTATAGTGGGCTTAATAATATAAGAGTCCAAGCCCTACGATCCAATTAGCTCGGAGAGTGTCCGTGTAACTGGCTAATCCTCTCTCTATGATGTGTGTTTTGGTCATAAAAATTCAAACACATCAACATAAAATACGTAACAATTAGAAACTACAAAAATATATATGACACTTGCTAATCCTCTCTCTATGTTGTGTGCTTCGAACCAAGCATGCGTTGCGAGTGAAATAGCGCGTGGCGTGAACGTAATTAAAGGCGAGTGAGTAATTATAAGAAGCGAATAAGAGAAAAACAGACAGAGACCAAAAGGCCAAGACAACGATATATTCGAGGCAAAAGCAGTTTCGTCCGTATTATTATTATCATCACATAATAATTTCCCAATTAAACGAGAATTGATATTTTACAGTCTTACAACAAATCTCTTTTACTTCTTATATATATTCAGCTTCAATTCACATCCTGCAAAAACCCTAATCCCTCTCTCTCTCTCTGTTTCTTATCTGAGTAAAAGCAGAGAAGCAGCAGCAATGGATGCCAAAGAAGCCTCTGCCACCGATTTGAAACGACCGAGAGAAGAGGAGGCTGATAACAACAACACCGCCGTCGCTTCCATGGAGACGGATAACTCAGCTCCGGCGGCTAACGGAGAGCAGACGACAAAGGAGCCGGCTTGTTTCTCCTCTGTGATTCCCGGGTGGTTCTCTGAGATGAGTCCCATGTGGCCAGGTCAATTCTCGTTGCTCCTTTATTTTTGATATAAAAAGCTGATGTCTTTTTTTGGGATGATGCAGGAGAGGCACACTCTTTAAAGGTTGAGAAAGTTTTGTTTCAAGGCAAATCAGATTACCAGGATGTTATTGTTTTCCAGGTAACACACACAACAACAACAACCAAAAGCAATGACTTTTGCTTAAATTTGCAATCATCTCTCTGTTTTATTATGTGTGTTTGGTTTGTTTCTTTAGTCTGCGACATATGGGAAAGTTTTGGTTTTGGATGGAGTTATCCAACTTACAGAGAGAGATGAATGCGCTTATCAGGAGATGATCACTCATCTTCCTTTGTGCTCTATCCCTAACCCAAAGAAGGTAAAATACTCAAAAGAGTATTGCTTTATTGCATCTCTTTGGAGTGTTAAGTAGTAAGTACTTTAAGTTATGGAAGACTATTGCTTTGGAATGTATTGAAGCTCACAATTTTTCTTCTCCGGTAAAGTAGGATGACTTAATTATTACTTGTGAAGAAATAGAGTAATCTGCATTTACCTTTATCAGATATGAGACTAATTTAACTGGCATAAATGATTACACTATAGAGTGGTGGTGATAGGAATGTCCACCAGAGAAAAAGGTTGATGATGAACATTTTTAACTTTTTTTAGAGGTAGAAACTATAATAAAAATGTATATTGTCCCACGTTCTATTCTGGCAAAGTTAGAGTACTCAAGTTACTTTATTGGGTAATAATAATGTGAAGGAAAATGTTCTTAACTGGCTTAAATGATTATCCACTAGCTTGTGATTTAGGACTTGCTTAAGGTTATTGTTTAGTGAAACAGCTGAAAATCTGGTTTTGATTTTAGCCATAGTGTATCTGATCAGTGCCCTTCTGGTTCTTTCAATAGGTGTTGGTCATTGGAGGAGGAGATGGAGGTGTCCTCCGGGAAGTTGCACGCCATGCCTCTGTTGAGCAGATTGACATGTGTGAGATTGATAAAATGGTGGTTGATGTGAGTACTAGTCACACACTCTTCACTTCTCCTCCATCTCTGTTTCGATGAATGCTTGGTTATCATACAAGTTTAATTTGTTGCCACATTCATTGAATATTCAGGTCTCTAAGCAGTTTTTCCCTGATGTAGCAATTGGATTCGAGGATCCTCGTGTGAATCTCGTCATTGGCGATGGTAGACAGCTGCTGCTTTTTATCTCTCTGTAGTTTTATCCTCTCTACAAGTATTATCTTTTAAACTGATGGTTGGAGGGTTGTTATTACTGTAGGTGTTGCTTACTTGAAGAATGCTGCTGAAGGATCATATGATGCAGTCATTGTTGACTCCTCAGATCCTATTGGTACCATCAAACTAACCCTTGCTATTACGTTTGAGAACCAGCCTTTGATTTTTATTGCTGGTGTGTGTCTCAGGTCCTGCAAAGGAGCTGTTTGAGAAACCTTTCTTCCAATCTGTGGCTAGAGCTCTACGTCCTGGTGGAGTTGTGTGCACTCAGGCTGAAAGCTTGTGGCTTCACATGGACATCATAGAAGACATTGTTTCTAACTGTCGTGAGATCTTCAAGGGCTCTGTGAACTACGCGTGGACCAGTGTTCCTACATACCCAAGGCATGTTGTGTATAACCTCTTAAAACATTCAGTCTCTCTCATGTTTTGGTTATTGTGTTTCATTTAACTTCTTTTTGGTTTTTGCAGTGGGGTTATTGGATTTATGCTATGTTCAACTGAAGGACCTGAGGTTGACTTCAAGCACCCTGTGAACCCCATTGATGACAGTTCCAGCAAATCAGGTGGACCCTTGAAGTTCTACAACGCTGAGGTGAAAACATATATATCATTTCATTCATCTTGACATTCAAATCCTTATCTGCTCTCGTTTCTTGTGTGTTTCAGATTCATTCAGCTTCGTTCTGTTTGCCTTCTTTCGCCAAGAAGGTGATTGAGTCAAAAGCCAATTGAAAAGGGGGAAGAAGTAATGTGGAGGGTCGTTGCATTTATCAAAATAAAAAAGTTTTCTACAATTTCTAGAATTTCTTGTTTGTTTCAAGCATGTTTATGTGACAACACTACTGCAACATAATGGCTTCTTTAGCATAATAGCATTACAAATCACATGTTGTCAAGGCTTATCAACAAGTTGAGAATTTTGTTAAGCTTGCTGCCTTGCACGTTTATTTTAAAAACTCCAGCTTTTTGGTCAAGCTAGAATTTTATATCACACACGCAGGCAGTTAAAATTCTATCTTCAGAGGACAAGTTTACAATTTACATCCATAAGAGCTGATTTTATCTTCAGGCTGCTTTACTGTATATGTTCCTAAGATTTTTTCTTTTGACATTCGTTGTCATCATTGCATGTGATGATTGAGTATGTTGACTTAATTAATTCATGGAATCAGTGACTGGATATTACCTACTGTATCTTTCTTTGTTTCTTAAGAACATAGAAAAGCAATATACTATCATCATCAATATAGATGTAGCGTATTGATCAATGCTCAATGCCCCCACGTGAGCTGGTTTGGGTTAATGCATTTGTCTTTGTATATATATTCAGCGTTTCACATCCTAAATTCCTAACTAACATAGTTTAATATAACAACTAGAAACAACTAGAACGATATCCACAAGGACCACAACTAATACAATTTTAACTCTCACAAACGGTGTTTTGTGTTGAAGATGCCTTAAAGTGATAACATCCCTTTATGTTTCATGACTCAGTTGATCGAACAACGAAATCCTTATCTTCTTTTGTTTGTTGCTTCAGATTTTGGTTTTCCTCTTTTACTATAACGCCTAACTGTTTTCTAATTTTTCTTTCGGTGATATGAAATCTCTATTGAGATAAAAAAAAACATCATAATTATCAAAACACACAGGTCTTGTGTTTTCATTACGTGTCGATAACTCATTGGTTAAAGTTACCGACGTAAATGGAATACTAGTGATGATAAAATAGCATCTCTCCCCGAAAGACTTATCCATTCAGGAAACATTCTGAACCAAGGAACCAGGATAAAGTCGTTTCGGGTCCCACCTTCTCTTATGTGTCTGATGACGTGTCGAACTGTTACTCGCTTATTTACATACATCCATGTAGATCCCACTCATCCTCCACGTGCCTTTCATTACAAAAGTTAAGATATTTTCCGGACACAAATGTCCGAACTTACACAGCTCTGATTTACACCCCTGTCGAGTGGAAGGTCGCTGTAAAATAAATTGTTTTATTTAAAACAAAAGGCGAAGATATCAACCAAAAAAAGCAGCAAAAGAAGAAGAAGAAAAAAAGCAAGTGTTTATCTGATTTGGATCCAATCAAAACCCAATCCTCGTTAAACGACGTGGAAACATAACACGGCTTAGATGTCAACGTTATTACATTCCAACCACTAAACTAATCGAGGGTATTAACGTAATTGAGTACATGGTTAGCATGCTTAGTGATATTCCTAATGCTGCCTAAGCTTTTGGCCCTTGGGAGATTTGAGAGGCCACCCTAACCAGCGTGGTGCCTTTTATATTATTAACAAAAATTAAAAAATTAATCTCAATACGATAATGTGTTGTGCTTACATGTTTTAATTATTTTTTGTTTGGTCAAGTTATAAAATTTAATAATGACTTCTTCTTTAACTAGTTGTAAAATTACTTTATCTACTATGTACATGCATGTTTCATATATTTTGTTGGTTTGTTCCATTGTATGTCTTCTTCTATAGACTTTTATAGAAACGCGAAGATAATTCTATATATTTCTAATGAATTATCCTTCTTGTCAAAGCGAGAAGATTGATTCAAATCATCTTATCTATCTGGATCTAGTCTTAGAGATCGTGTGTGGAAGTTATCGTGTGTGGAAGTTTGGTTACTGAATAATAATTTTTTTTTTCAAACGTTACTTGCACTTTGTAGAGTTATGACTATTCTATGTTAGCATGACACAACTTGTCAACAAAATTAGTTCTATGCAACAAAGAAAATGCAGCTACACCGCCAACCTAATATAATTTCGACTTAAAATCTTAAATTTTACAGAGTATATATAATATAGTTATCTGAAATATATTTGTACACTGAAACAATTTTGTGAAACTAAAAAAGCCACCCCCGCCCTAACAAGCGGGTTGGTTCATGACAGAACCAAAAATATATATCATAACTACATGAAATATGCCACTTTTGAAAATAATGAAAAGAAAAGCAACAATAGAGAGAATGTTAAAGAGCATTAAAGAAAAAAATTGGTTTGAGTAACTGGCCAACTAAAATCAATTTGCCTTGAGGATGAATATTGTATTAATTATGACATTAATCACAATTATTTACAAAATCTTCTTATTTAAGAATAATTTTATAAAGTTCTATATACGTTTAGCAAAACATAAATTTATGGAATGATCAGTTATAGGTATAATTAAATGTACATTTCTGGATAACTATCTAAGGCCATTCTAATTAGGATTTCTTCACAATATCCAGCATGTTCATTTGTGTTTTTCAAATAATAAACTTAATATATATTTTCATTTAAAGAAACTTGGAAATTTGATATAAATCTCAAAACAATCTTAATAATTTTAAATAACACATGATCAACAAATATGTAGTGATGCGACCTCAATATAACAGATGAAACTCTCCATCCTGTTTTGTATCATTTGTCCTTTCGTTGTTAACTTTGTATATTATTGGGTTTCCAGAAAAAAAGTGTATGCTATTTGTTTGGTTGGAGAACTTTATATAATTTGGAGCATGGATACATAAATATTATTCGTAATATACTTTTTTAATAAATATGTATATTATTGCATTTATTAAAAGAAACGTACTATATTTTAGTTTCGGTTGTAGTATTTCGATTTTTTTACGGGTCAAATAAAAATTTGAATATATGCTTGGAAGTCATGTCAACCAAAACTACTTAAATTTTTGAAAATGCCGTGGTTCCAGTTCGGATAAACTCGTAAACGATAGGTCAATATAAAACAGCCAAAAAAATGTCAATTTTTAAAAAAGGTTAATAAAAGTGGACCCAGGACACAATATACGACCTAGACAGTAGGTTTGATGAGATCTCATAATCGAATAATTTAATATATATGAGATGGCCATTAACATTTTGGATTGGATTAAGGATATTATTTTTATTTATTCCAGCCGAAGAAGAAAAGAGAGGTCCACCGCATTATCTAGTCATCTACCAACCCTATTGTACGAAGATGATAAGAGGATTAAGGCTAAAACCGTCATTTCATTCTATTATAAATTAAAATAAAATAAAGAAAAAATAGATCGTTAGAAAACGTGTATATGTGCATCTCGGTTTATTCATTTTCCTCTCGCATCAATCTTCTTCGATGCTCCGTCTCTTACAGCTAATGTCCCAGAGAGTTCTAAGTCCTTACCCTTCTCTTTCATCTGTTCCACGAAGAAGACAAACAACGGCGATTTAGAAGGTCAGAAAACAGCAGTAAACAACTTTTAATTTTTTTGCTTTTTTTTCTGAGTTGCTTGACTTTTGTTCTGAATCACTGTAAAAACGTGTTCTTTAGTTGTTTTTGGAGTTGTGTTCATGATCTGTTTCTGGTAAAAAAACACACAAGTTGGGGATTGATTTGGCGTTTTTATGTTTCTCCTTTTTATCCGGAGTTGCTAACTCTACTCATAAAAGCTTTCTGTCCTAAAAATAAAGATCGAGGTGCTAGGTTCGGATCTCAGCAGTTGCAAAAAAAAAAAAATTAGTAAACGGTTCTTGTTTCTTACCCAAAAACTTCTTTAAAAAAAAATTCTTCATTCTGATGTATTACTTATAGGAATAGACTCGGTCATGTTGTAAGATCATTGTTTTGGTCAATTTAAAGAGTTTGATTTTAAACGAATGATTTTTTTTTTTTTTTTGTTTCCTCAGGTGACTTGAGACCATAAGTGTATAGACGCGTGTTTGCTCTTGTCAGCACACAACTCTCTCCGTTACTTACTTCCCCCATGGTGTCGAGATCTTGTGCAAACTTTCTCGACTTATCATCTTGGGACTTACTAGACTTCCCTCAAACTCAAAAACCTCTTCCACGTGTCATGACTGTTCCCGGTATCGTCTCCGAGTTAGAAGGAGACACCTCCTCCCATTCCTCAACCGGCTCCCACGAACGCAAGATCATTGTTGCTAACATGTTACCTCTCCAAGCCAAAAGAGATTCAGAAACAGGACAATGGTGCTTCACCTGGGACGAAGACTCTCTCCTCCTCCAGCTCAGAGATGGGTTTCCTAAAGATACAGAGTTCGTTTACATTGGCTCACTCAACGCTGATATCGCCACGAGTGAGCAAGAAGCTGTCTCACAAAAGCTTCTGTCGGAATTCAACTGTGTCCCTACCTTTCTCCCCAAAGAGATTCAAGAAAAATACTACCGTGGCTTCTGTAAACACCATCTCTGGCCTCTCTTCCACTACATGCTCCCCATGTTCCCTGACCACGGCGACCGTTTCGATCGCCGTCTCTGGCAAGCCTATGTCTCCGCAAACAAGATATTCTCCGACAGGGTGATGGAAGTCATCAACCCTGAAGATGATTACGTTTGGATTCAAGATTATCATCTCATGGTTCTCCCCACGTTCTTGAGGAAACGTTTCAACAGAATCAAACTCGGATTCTTCCTCCATAGTCCCTTTCCCTCATCAGAAATCTACCGGACTTTACCGGTCCGGGACGATATTCTGAGAGGGCTGTTGAACTGTGATCTCATTGGCTTCCACACGTTTGACTACGCACGTCATTTTTTATCATGCTGCAGTAGAATGCTTGGACTTGATTACGAGTCTAAGCGTGGTCACATCGGTCTTGATTACTTTGGTCGAACCGTGTTCATCAAGATTCTACCTATAGGGATCCATATAGGTAGGATTGAGTCTGTTCTCAACCTCCCTTCAACAGCAGCTAAAATGAAAGAGATTCA